TAATAATTTACAGCTGCCCCTTTAATCTCCTCTTTATTGTCACTATGACCTCTGCTGAACTGACAATTTAAAAAGCTATTTTATAATTATATTACATAATGCTGTTTATCTTGTTGCCTCATGTTTCTTTCACAAACAATTCCAGACTGCCAATAACATGCCTCCTTTGACATCAGCTGTGGTGGTGCGGTAAAAAACAGGGCAGATGATTACTACTGTAGTGTCTTAGTTTGTCTTTTTGCTTTGTTGTCATGGGTCAAAGTGTCAGCTCAGGGGTAGAAAGTAATACATTACATTTACTTTTATCCAAGTCGTGGTAATTGTTTCTTTTGGCCACTTGGGGGCAGCTGAAAACAAAACATCTCACGTAATATTTCCTTATTCTGAGGGACGTACTATGAAGAAAGATTTGTCTGCCTAAAGCCAGAGTTTCTAATGTCTCGAAGATGGCTCTCTTTTAACCTGGCGAGATCTTCATGGTAACTTGTGCTGCACATTGAAATCGGCTGTAAAAAGGACCACCCTTTTATGAACAAATTTCCTGATGATTTATCTACACCAATCAGCCATAACATTAATGAGCACTGGACAGGTGAGGTGTAATAACACTGATTATCTGATTATCATTGCACCTGTCAGTGGGTATATTAGGCAGGAACTGAACATTTTGTCCTCAAAGTTGATGTGTTAGAAGCAGGAAATGGGCAGCGGAAGGATTGACCCGTGTGCTACTGTAGCTCAAAGTGCTGAAACAGTTAATGCTGGTCCTCGATAGAAAAGGTGTCAGAAACACAGTGCATCCACAGTTTGTTTGGTTTATGGGGCTGCAGAACATTTTGACCATCAGGGTGCCCAGGGGGTCATACTATTATGGCTGATGGCTGGTGTATAAGTGATATTGATTCTCAGGTGAGGAAGGATATATGCAAACTTGTAATGTCACCAAACCAAGCAGCGTAATTACAGAGGCGCAAACTGAATACATCGGGTTGTGGTTTTTCAACTCTTTCAACTTTCAAGTCTGAATTGTTGAATTGAATATGTTAACAAATTATGTTTGCCTGGATTATGTTCAAAGACAATGTAATTGCTTCAGGTAATGCTCTAAAAGAATAATTTAGACCCAGCATTCCTCTCTTGGCAATGCCAGTGTTGCTTTTTGTTGAAATTTTTTATCATAGTACTCCATTATAATGAAGTAGACGGCATGTAATTTGTCCATTTTGTGCAGAAGCAGTACCAAACGCCAGGGGTGTGTCCAAATGTTTTTGACTGGGGTGAAACAAGTGGGCACTGACTCATGCAGAGATGACATGAAGTATATGTGTCTCAGCTTTCCAGTCATTTTCAATTTATTCATTTCCAATACTGTTTAGGGACCCCAGTATGCAAAAATAATTAAACACACAAGGTAAAACATACCACGTGCAAAACACTGCATGGTTTTTGCCCCAAACTACATGGGATTAGTATAAAGTACAAAGGAGAGACTTGTAGGTATCCACAGAACCCATATCCATTAAGATATCTTGAGGTCAAGATACTTGGAATGTGGTTAATGTTTTTTTTCGTAGTAAAAGAGCTAAAGAGAAAAAATAAAATATACATGCATGGTGCTTTAAAGTACTTTGAATTAATTGATTTGTTCATAACGTACTGAAAAAGTGGAAATCAATAATGGAAGTCAATAAAATCTGTAGTGAGATGGTCAAAGGTGGTATTTATGGCAGGACTGCCAGACGGAAAGTGCATGAATACATGAATTTGAAATCTGTCCTGAAGAGTCTTACATCTCAATCCACATGATGTGAGAAATGAAGCGCACCTTCCTGCCATAGTCTCAGCTGGAATGAGGCCTTTGTATGTCTCTGTAGCTGACCAATAATATGAGCCTGTTATGTAAGGTTGTTTTCTATTAGGTTATTTTCTACACTTCCTTGTATGATGAAATAGTGAGCCATGATTACTGTCAGAGTCTTTTACAAGGATGCTTTGTCAGCTTCTGTTAGATATAAAATGTTCAAATTGTATAGATGTCCCGGTGCTCGTGAAAGATTTCGTGCAAAATCAGAACAAGCATTGTAGGAGAACACGAAAAAAATAGTTGAGAGACATTTGCCCCTAACAAGAAAAACTATAGGCGAAGTGGGCGGGGCCTACTATGGGAGATTCAGCTCCATTTCCCGAACGCCGTGAAATAAGGTTTGTTGGCATAATGTGCGACAAACTATGCAGATGTATTAAGTAAACAAAAAATCAAAATCCGTTCTTCAATAGTAGCGCCAACCTTATTTGACCGACCTAAAAGCGAGCATAGAATACAAATTTTTCACCAACCTTACAAGCTTTGCCAAATGAAAACTGAGTTTGCAATATATGTTCAAGGGGCAAATAATTCATTCGAAGGGGCTAAAATAGTAAGAAAAAGAGATATCAGCAATTTCAATTAGGGCCCTCCAGTGGTCGCTGGCTCGGTCCCTAAATTAATAAGAAAAACATAAGCGTTTCAATAAGACTCCCAGCGGTCCCTGCTCGTCCCCTAATGAAGAGACTCTTACACGAATATAAGCATAAAGCACCAAAACAGATAGAGAGACAAAACTCAATAAAGAGTATATAGCAAATAAGATACAATAAAACATAAATGGGAAACACTTTGTGCTTATTATACTGAAAAGACAAGCTGATCAAGATACTCAGTGCGTACACTCATTCTGTACCTAATTCTGATAAATGAGCAAAGATTTT